ACACTGTGTTAGGAAATTTCCTGCCGTGGCAGAGACAGAAGCTGACCCAGGAATGCCAATGGTCAAGAGGCAGTTGCCTCACTCAGCATCTCTCCAATCAACTAAAACAATGAGCTCCAGGCTCTGGAGACGATTTTTAGATGCAAACCTCTCACTGGGAGATGCACAAAAACAATCAGAAATAAAGGATAAAAACTCTTAACTTGAGAAGCTATGTGCACCCTAATGTTCATAGCAGCACTATTCACTATAGTCAAGACATGGAAACAGCCTAAGTGTCCATCAACAGATGATGGATAAAGAGGATGTGATGTGTACATACACAATGGAATATTCCTCAACCATAAAAAAGAATGAAATATCACCACTTGCAGCAACATGGATGGACCTAGAGAGATTATAATACTAAGTAACGTACATCATAAAGACAAATACCATAAGGCACCACTTAAATGTGGAATCTAAAATATGACACAAATAAACATATCTATGAAACAGGAAGAGACTCACAGACATAGAGAACACACTTGTGGTTGTCAAGGGGGAAAGGTTGGGGAGAGATGGATTGGGAGTTTGGGATTAGCAGATGCAGACGATTATATACAGAATGGATAAACATCAAGGTCCTACAGTATAGCACAGGGAACTAGTCAATATTCTTGAAAAACCATAATGGAAAAGAACATGAAAAAGACTTTAGTGTACAGCAGAAATTAACTATGCTTCAATAAAATTTAAAACAAAACCAAACTTTTTGTTTGTTTATTTTGGCTGCAGCACACGGTTTATAGGCTCTTAGTTCCCTGACCAGGGATTGAACCCCGGCTCCTGGCAGTAAAAGAACAGAATCCTAACCATTGAACCATCAGGGAATTCCCAAAACAAAACAGTTTTGAATTAAAACAGAAAAAGAAAAAAGAAAGGGCAAGACTGCATCATAATCCCACTTCCTTCCTGGATGGCCAGAGTCTGCATGTCACAGTGTTGCAGAAATGGTTCATTCTGGAGGGGTCCCTGGTCTACTGTGCGGCCAGGCACAGCTCTGAGGAAGCCCCTTTCAAACCATCATTCACCACTGGCGGCCACCCCCCATCAAAGGTCAGCGCCAGTGCTGTATGAAACCCCCACCATCATTTTCCTGGCCATGAATGATAGTTCGCTAAGTGGGAAAAGGAGTGGTGGGGATCCCAGGAGAGTAGTAATAATAATAATAATAAAACCCCGGGGGTTCTCTAGAGCAGATCACCACTAGAAAATTAGGTGTGCTTCTCTTCTTTCCAGTTCCTGTAGGGAAATATACATGCTCAGGAGGAGGGCAGGTGTGGGACTTGGGGCGGGGTTTCTGCACTCACAAAATTAACCCAGATGGTACACTTTATTGTTTGTGACATTAAGAGATGCACCAAACAGCAGATTGACAAGAGCTTTGGATTTAAGATTTCTAATGGAACTCAGACTTAAAATTTTTGAATAATACAGAGGCTCCCAATCCCTTATTTTATTCTAAAATTCACAGTGGCCAAATTAACAAAGAATGGTTCATTTCAGTTACACCATCTACTTGGAAAACACAATTCCTGAAATTCCAAATTTACAGGATTTGGTAGGATGAGGGAATGGTGGTTAGCATGTGATTTATTCTCTATTACCACTATAGCAATATATAGAGATAAATATGTAAAAATATAATGTATCTGCTGTCACTATGTATGTTTGTAGTTTGTTACAGAACAATATTTTCATCTGAACTCCTGGACAACAGGATTTCTGAACTAAAGACTCTGTTACAATCATACATACACACATATATATAACACACATACATACATATCTTCTCTATCATATAAATGAATCACTGTGAAACTGAAAGTTGCTCAGTCATGTCCGACTCTTTGAGACCCCATGGACTGTACAGTCCATGGAATTCTCTAGGCCAGAATATCAGAGTGGGTAGCCTTTCCCTTCTCCAGGGGATCTTTTCAACCCAGGGATCAAACCCAGGTCTCCTGCATTGCAGGCAGATTCTTTACCAGCTGAGCCACAAAGGAAACCCAAGAATACTGGAGTGGGAAGCCTATTCCTTCTCCAGGGGATCTTCCAGACCCAGGAATCAAACTGGAGTCTCCTGCATTGCAGGTGGATTCTTTACCAACTGAGCTTTCAAAATAAACTTATCACTTGGCTAAACATTGCCCTAAAAACTGTTACTAACCTTATAATGCTTAAAAATAGTATAGTACAAGAACTAATGATTATTCTATTTGTACATATATTTGCATTGGCATATATAAGAACATATAAAAAACTATACATTGAATATCTGGCTCACATTTGAATTTTTAGGACACTGTGTGAAGTCTTTGGGTGTTATTTTCATGAGTGATATATTCCTATTTAATTAATGAAACAAACAACAGCCTCTTCCTAGTGAGCACAAAATGAAATGATGGAACAGGAGTGACAATTCAGAGATAAATAATCCCCAAACCGCCTAATTCAGAGATTTACAGGGATGAAAGAGTAAAGCATAATAGTAAGAAAAAGATTCCATTTCAGTGACAGGACAAATCCAGTATGCTATTCAATTGTTTTGCCATTTGTAGATATTTTTCTGGTCATTTCTTAATCTTCTAAACTTCTCTGTCACATATTTCCAGGTCAGATACCATCTTGTTTTCACTTACAGTTACTGGGTCACCAAGAGTTCTTTCTTGTTTTAATTCACAAAGTATTTTTTGTCTCTCTTCTCCCCAAAAGGAAGTCAGACAACAATGACTCCCTGACACCTGAATTTCCTGGCTCTAGAGAAAAGACTACCAGGGGAATGTTAATGCACTTAAATTCATCTTTAAAAGCTGAACAAAGGGAGTCACTGCAGACTAAATCCCGATGCTATTTTAACATCATACCTGTCACACATTACTTTCCTTGCTTTTTAATGTAAACACATCTCTGGTCTTTTCTCTCTCTATATGAAATGCTTTGTGTTTCTTGGCCGGCAAATTTGTATGTCTTGAGTGGCTTCAAAAGATTAGACATGTGGTTCCTTGCAAACTCCTTTACAATGTCTTCATTCTTTTAAGCCTTTCTTCTGTGAAAGAAAGGCACTGTCAAGCAGAGGCTAGGTGTCTGAACACTCCCAGGTAACATGCCTCATCAAATAACCAGGAGGGGACACCCCTGGTGGTCCAGTAGTTAAGACTCGCCTGCCATTACAGGGACATAGGTTTGATCCCTGGTCCAGGAAGATTCCATGTGCTGTAGGGTCTGGAGCCTGCGCACCACAGCTGATGAGCCTGCGTGCCCTACTCTGCTCTGCTCTGAGAAGACTGGGCACCTCACCTAAAGAGTAGCCTCCACTCTCTGCAACTAGAGAAATCCCACACAGCAGTGAAGACCTAGCGCGGCCAAAAATTTAAAAAAAACAACAAAACCTAGAAGGAAGTGGGCTCTTAAGATTTTAAGTGATCTATATTTTTGAATATTGAGATTTTAACTCACACAGAACGATTACATATCCTATCATTTTACCTGGAATACGCTGCACGGTTTTTAATATTATAACGGCTTAAAAAATCTTGTTGAGAACTGAAGATATGTGATGTAGATGATTAACCCAGACACCGTGATGATAAACAGTTTTCATGATATGGCAATCAAAAATTGGATTCCTTGTTATTTTTTAAACCATGTAACCCACACAACTCCAACTTTCTAATTTGTTTAGGTTCTTTTGTCCTGCTCACATAGCTCACTACGAGTTTGCTTTGACAGAGTATAACTAAACCAAGAACACTGTTTTTACTACAAAATGCAAATTTCCCAAAACAAAAGAATATGAGTATAACACATGTTTCAAAATACGAGACAATAAGTCCCTAAATTTTGAGCAGTTAAGTCTGAAGGATGAACAAAGGCCCTCAAAATACAATCAGTTATCCGTACTATTGAATTCTCTTAGAAGCTAACATCTCTAAATATTCTAGTCTAGATGGTCAAGCCAGTAGCAGCCAGTCTCGGAGTCAATACACTTCAATAATTGAAATAGTCTGTTTTAGATGTAAAACTGCCGTGTGAAGATGGCCATATTTACTTTGTCCCAACGTGGAATAAACAGCAGTATTTTCCATCATGTTTTCTTTTCTTTTTTTTTTCTAGAATAAATTTGCCTGACCTCAGGTTCTTATCCCCCTCAATTCACCTGCAAAACTAATGTTTATTTGAACTGAAAAAATACATTTAGGAGTCTGCCTAGACAATTAGCCTAAACCATGAAGTAGGAGATTTATATAAATTGCATTCTAATTGTTCAGCACTTTTTAGATTGAAATATCTAAACTGAACTCAAATTTAAACTTGGGTGTTTAATTGAGAAAGAAACATATATCCTCTCCGGGAATCTGACTTTCTGATTTTATCCATTCTCTGATTTTCCATTCATTGACTCCGTGACACAGCAATTTCTCCTACTGGTGGATCTTTTCAATGAGGTGCTTTGATACACAGCAGTATCCTTAGCATGCTGATATACTGATGTAACATATGTTATAGTCATATTCGGTGTATATTGGGCATACTTCACATAACGTAAACTGAGACCCAGTGGAAATTGGTTAGTGGTGTCCTTCCACTTTGTGATTTTAAATGACAGCAACAGAAACAATGGCTCCAAAGTCTTGGGTCTGATCACAGGAAAACGAAGGAAAAGACACTTGTTAAAGGCAGGTTAGAAATAGAAGAAAGATCTTGAAAATGTGTCGCCATGACACCTGCTCAGTTTCTTCTTTTAAAAAAGAACATACCAAGAACTAAACTGATAACTTTAAGACTGGGAAGCTTCCTGCTTTGGTAGAACCTGCGTTGACATTGTGAAAATGAAAAAAAGTCATCAATATCATTATTTCTGTAGTTAGCCCAGAACTTTGCAGAGCGCTGAGGACCCCAGATCTCAGGCACAGAAGCGACAGAGGGGATGTAGGTGATGGTGGGTCAACACTCACCTGGCTCGAGCCTCTGCAGGGAGTGGCAGGTCACTGGTGGAGTGGCTTGGGGAGGCTGGCTGCCCAGGTGATGGACTGGGCAGGCTGTGCACTGGCTTTGGGAACCTTGGCACTTCACCGAGGGCAGAGTCTCGCCCGGAGAACGAGAAGGAAGAGGAGACCTCCCCTGCAGGGGGCAGGTCTCGGGCCAGCCCGGTGGCACTGGGCTCTTGACCGCGTCTTTGGTTTTCTGCGTTGAGCAGCACCTCTGTGTCAGAAACACCGTCGCTTCGGTGCAGGCCATAGTCCTTGGATTCAGCCACGCAGGTCCTGAGCCCCGAGAGCTCAGTCCTGGAGTAGGACGAGCCGGAGTCTCTGCTGGACTCGACTGATCGCTCGCTTCTTCCCCCCCTTTTCTCTGCAGCCTCGGGGTCCTTTCTGGACCTGCTGTATCGAGATGGAGTTTCAGAGTCCGGTTCCGGGTCCAGGGTGAGCCCATACTTTTCTGCCAGCTGCCGTCTTCTCTCTGCTTTGTACCTGGCAATTCTTTCGGCTTTGGACTCGAGGTTCTGGGTGTCCATGATGCCTGAACTGTAGGGGGAGTCAGCATGGATGCCTGAGGTTTCTGTGCACTGTTTGGATCGAGTCTGCTTTTCTAGTGAAGAATCTGAAGTTTCTTCTTCTTCATTTGATCGACCTACAAGAAGATCATATACACAGTATTCCGTCAAAGACATGCATTTATTCTACTCTGTTCTGTACACAACACACTGAGCGGCCAGGCTGTGAAGAACAAGTTTCTCACCTCCTTGGGGCTGCCTACAATGATTTACCTGGGAGGCTGAAGAAGTCTGAGGTCTGCAGGGAAATACATTAAGGGCTGAGATGCTCTGTGCCGCATAAGCCATGTCAGGCATGGCCTCGGCTTAAAGCTCAGTCTTGGCAGCCTTCACTGCTGCTCAGTCATTTCCCCTTATTCATGTACTTTTCTGCTTTTGAGTTTAATATTTCATGTGTGAGGCCAGAGGATGTGTTCAGAGTCCTCTAGAAAGGATAACAGATATTTGAACTGCTGTAATTTGACAAGTGACAGATTGTGGTTTCTGATAGTAACCATAATAATAACGGGCCATGTCAATATCTGCCAGGTAGCAGTGGTGTTCTTAGTTAACAGAAGTGGTTTTTTCCAACTATACTATGCATGTGTGATGTAGAAAAGGTCTACAATGAAAGCACAGGAAAGTTAGCCCCCAAGTCACCAATAATCACTGATCTATAATCATCAGTAATAAATATTTGCATAATTTGCTAAACTTTTCTGTATATTCTTTCTAGTCTTAGTGATTTTTTCCTATATAACTCATATTTTATATAAACTTAATGTTCTACATAAAGCATTTCCCTGCTTGCAAATCTTATTTTGAAGATATTTTTTAAGGTTTTATCATATTCTATCCAACAGGCACCCTAGAATCAATTTAAGCAGTCTCATATTTCTAGGCATTTAAGTTGATTCTAACTTTTAATCCATTTTATTTTCTGATTACAATTACAAAAGATAGTTGCATCAAAGTAGAATTGCTTTATCAGTAGGTACCTCATTTTAAGACACTTGCTAGACTGACAAATTAATTTCTATAAAGTTTGCATCAACTTACAATGAAACCTGAAATTTATGTTCTCTTCTCACAAACACTGCTAATTAAAAAAAAATCACCTTTGAAAATATGAAAAAGAATGTGTATATATGTATAACTAAATCACTTTGCTGTACAGCGGAAATTACCTCAACACTGTAAATCAGCTATATTTCAATAAAAAATACATAAAAGAAAGCATACTTGTAACATATAACACTATAAATGAGAATATCAAATAATCATATTATTTATTATCTATCTGTATCTGTTGTACTTCATTTTACACCTCTATTTTGGATTTATATAAATACTTCCATATTTCTAAAAAGATTTGTCATGATGTCGTTTCTCCAAAGAATTAAAAATTGCCCTAGATTACCAGGAAAAAGAGGATGCATGCATTTTTCAATTGTTTAGTAGCCATTTCATTATCATTTTCTCTTCTAGAATATCTGGTCAAGCTTGTTGCTCTATATTCTTTTGATTCATAGTGTCATTTTAATCAATTTATATAAAATTATATAGCTCTTTATATTTTTCATGAGTATTTCCAAACTTAACTTTTTGTGAAGTCTGTTGAAGATTGTCTTTGAAGCACAGATGTTCATTATGTAGTCAAATCAATTGACCCGGTCATTGGTGATTTCTACCACTATTTCTGTGTTTTGAAAGTCCATTTCCATTCAACTGGACCTAAATATTCATTTTTGTTTCCATATTTTTAATTCTTCTCTTATAATTAATGATGAGTCACTGAATCTTATTTTTGTGTTGAGTAGGAAGTGATGATGGGACATTGTCTCTCCCCACTGCCATCCCATTTTTCCCAAGACAAGTTTGTTAGATAATGCTTCCTGACTAACATGATGCTTACATGATCATATGATACATTTTATATACAATAGGATTTATTTATGGCCATATATTTTGGTACTCTGGCTATTCTTGATTCTTCATGTGTGTGATGAGAAAAAAAAAAATCTTAGTTCTCTAGTTTTCTGGCCGTAGAAAACCAGAAACTGTAGAGACAAGCAAACTGATCACATTATGAAGGGAGACTAGCAACTCCCTCTGAAGAAGAAACTAGAAGATGATGGCTATTAAAAGCAGTACCACGGAGCAGCAGAACCTGGGATGCCGACAGGAAGAGCAGCCCCGTATATGCCATCCTCTCCTAAGATCACGTGGGATATCTGATGCTCATATCGACATCTGAGAAACTACAGAAAAACTAAGTCATGTTTGACATGTTATTTAACAAGAAATAAATATACAATGCATTTTAAATTACACCTATTCAAATAATTTAAAGAGGATATTTGGTGCATAAACACAGAGTGAGACCCCTAAGCATCTGAGGTCCAGCTTTGCCCATCAAGTTCCCTGCTACGAGTAGCTCGGCCCTGTGCTGGGCATCAGGACATTCTGTTTAAACCTATTATATATAAGAGATGCCTGTCTTATTCAGCCCTTTCCCAAACAAACCTGAGGATCTCTGACAGCTGGGGTCCCGAGGAGATGGAGAGAAAGAGCCAGTACCTGCCCCTGGTGGGGCCCAGGCTGGGGTGGGGGAGAAATGATTGGTCATCAATTACTCAACAGTGGGGTCCTTTCTTGTTGTGACACCAGGGGACCACAGCTGGGAGGCATGGTGGAGCTGATATGGGTATTGCTGCTGGTTTTAACAAAGACATATCTTAAAAAGCATTACAATCTGCGCAGTTCACTTGTTGCAATATCTCCTTTTCCAGGAGTGCCGGATGGAAAACGCTGATGATAGGAAATTGCTGGTGGTCCAGTGGTTGAGAACCAGCCTGCCAATACAGGGGACATGGGTTTGATCCCTGGTCCAGCGACTAAGATTCCACATGCTGTGGGGCAACTAAGCCCATGTGCCACAACTACTGAGCCCGCACACCTAGAGCCTGCGTGTCACAACAGCAGAAGCCACTGCAAAGAAACTAGAGTGGCCCCTGATCACCACAACTAGAGAGAACCCGCAAAGCCACGTAGACCCAGCACAGCCAAAAATAAAGTTAAAAATTAAAAACAGAAAAAGAAAGGTTGACAAGAGGCCCACCGGCCATAAGCTCACCGATGTGCGGGCTGGCCGGGTCTGAGGCACGCATGTATCTGGGTGTGTCCTCCTCCAGCAGGCCATGAGTCACCAAGCCCGTGCAGCTCTGCAAGAGGATGGGCTGCGTGTCGGTTTCAATTCCTTCTAAGCGCCGGGCAATTCTTTCCTTTCTGTGCGAGACACCAACAGAGGCAGAGTGAGTCAGGGGCATCAGTTTTCCGGAAACACTGGCTACTGCTCCGCAAACTCTTCTACTTCTTCATTAGGTACAATGAATATCTTACCTTTTCATCTCTAAAAATTCTTTCCTCTTTGGTTCAAAGATTTTTCTTAATTCTGCAACTAAAATAAAACAAAAAAGAAGAAAAAGATGAACCAGTATTTACTTGTCATGCATTCATTTTATTCATTCATTCATGCAACACCTATCTTTGGAACTCTGTTTATGGCTCCCTTGCAACAGTGATGTACAAAACAGACATAGTCTTGCAGACTGTATAATAACAGGGGAGGTAGGTGCTAAATGAGTAGGCATGTACGCAGACATAGACACAAATACACACTCACACGTACATGTCACAGGTTGGTCTAAGAAGTAACACCATGAGAACAAGAGATGGAAAAAAGAAGTGAGCTCTGTTTCACCCAGGAGAACCAGAGGAGGCCTCATCAGTTTCTCTTTAGGTTTTTCTCTAGTCAGCAGAGGGCTCACTATCTGGTTTTTAGTTTTATATAGTATTTTAAACTTTCCATCCTGCAAAACTTCAAACATTTGCAAAAGCAGAGAGTAGAGGACTATGAGCGCTACGCGCCACCAGCAGGTTATACCACATAAGAGTTCACAGCAGTCTGGTGTCATCCATCACTGAACCTGTAAAGATCTGCAATCTCCTTCCTGCTTGGGTTTCTAAGGTTACATAATGTGGTACACCTTCTCCAACTACAGTTTAGATTAACCTGGTTTCTGTGCCTCCCCTTTCCAAGCTTTCACTGGGAGGAAATGTTAACATGTTTCCTTGCTAGAATTTAGGTAGATGGTAGAAAGGTGATGACCCTCACTCCTCTGGGCAACACTGGATGATCAGACAAACATTTTGCTGATCTTGGGAGGGCCTCATTTAACACTGACCACAAGGATATTTTATTGAGAGGCCACAGAGTGGTTTCTGTGGAAATGGCCAAATTTGGTAGAGAAATTCTTCTTGCCACCTCCTCAATCCTGTGAATTCACAAGGGCTCCTCTGAGCTTTTCCTGCTGATGTCCCAGGAACAGAGGAGTGGTGATAGGTCTGGGGCCCATGAAACATCTGCAAGGCTGAGTCAAAGCAGAAGCTCAAAGGATGGGATATAAATGCTTGGGATTTAATTTTCAACTGCTTCAATTTCCACTTGGAAATTGGAACTTCAATTTCCATTTTTTTAAGTGGCTATTTTTATTTTTGGCCACATTTCGTGGCTTGCAAGATCTTAGTTCCCTGATCAGGGACTGAACCTATGCCCTTAGCATTGAAAGCATGGAGTCCTAACCACAGGACTTCCAGGAATTCCCTAAGTGGTTCTTTTTAGGAAGGAGTCAAAACCATACATGTGTGTGCACACATGACTTTTATATTGTCCTTTGATTGTGTTCAGAGATACCAGCCATGTTTTTATTTATTAATTTATTTTTAAATGACCGCTACCTTAACAGTGGGCTGGACTGACATTTTAACAAGGATAGTTGGCTTCACAGGTATCTCTGTCACCAGTGGCCTTCTTGGGAGTAGCTAAGAGCAAATGCTCGCAAGTAGAAGACCAGGGTCCAGTGACAATGGTACCTCCTGCCTTTGGAGGAAGTGTGGCTTATCACTCCTTCCCAGTTAACAAATGAGCTCTCACGAGATGGTGGTGATAAAACTTTCATGGCTGGTAGCACAGATTCTGGAGATATTTTCAAGGATGAGTATCAATGAATTATTTAAAACCCATAGTGGAAAACGGAGCTCTATTTTTCATAAAACTGCTCCAGAAACAGTTAACACCAAATTCCAAGGACTCTGGGAGGTTTGTCTTAAACCTGTGCCAAACCCATAACTGAGAAATGGAGTATATGAATAGAGTCTGAGTGGTACAATGACATGTTGCCTTTTCTCCTGAATTATTTCAACTAGGTAGATTACAGTCTGAAAGTGTGCGTGCATGCTCAGTCATGTCCGACTCTTTGCAAGCCCATGGACTATATACCCTGTAAGGATCCTCTGTCCATGGGGTTTCTCAGGCAAGAATACTGGAGTGGGCTGCCATTTTCCTCTCCAGGGGACCTCCCCAACCCAGGGAGGTTCCTGCATTGACAGGCGGATTCTTTACCACTGAACTACCTAGGAAGCCAAATGTGTGTATCCCCCTTTCCAATTCATATGTTAAAATTATAACCCCCAAAGTGACGGTATTAGGAGGCGTGACCTTAGGGAGGGATTAGGCCCTGCCCTCATGAGTGGGACTGGCCCCTAATAAAGAAGCCCCAAAGAGCTCCCAAGGGCTTCCCTGGTGGCCCAGACAGTGAAGAATCTACCTGTGAAGCAGGAGACCCAGGTTCATTCCCTGGGTTGGGAAGATTCTCTGGAGAAGGAAATGGCGACCCACTCCAGTATTCTTGCCTGGAGAAGTCCATGGACAGAGGAGCCTGGTGGGCTACAGTCCAGGAGGACGCAAAGAGTTGGACACAACTGAGCAACTGACACTTTCACGACTTTTTCACAGAGCTCCCAAGCCCCATCCACCACGTGAGGATGTCATGAGAAGTTGGCAGCCTACAACTAGCAAGAGGGCACTCACCAGAACCTGACTTTGCTGTTGCCCTGATCTTGGACTTCTAGCCCCCAGAACAGTTAGCAATAAACTTCTGCTGTTTATAAACCATCTGAATGGAGTAAGCCAGAACAAGCATAAAAAATAAGAATGTAGTGCATTCAGAGAGGCATACGATGTCCACTCTGAAAAATTAAGTTGACTTTCCTGCTCCTCATTTGCGACTGAAAATCATTTTTATCTCATTAAAACTTGAACATTTTCTATAGAAGTTGTGTACCTGAAAACATTTAAAGAAAATCCAGCAGTACAGTGAAAAAGATAAGCAACATGCTCCCGCTTGAGATTATTTCCCATTATCTGGAAGCAAAGGTCAACTCACAGGGAGTTGACACACATGTAACATAATTACTATAGTATATCTATTCCACAGATAACACTTAGGTTGTGTAAAAGAGAATGACTTTTTGTTTGCCTATGTATGTTTTTGGTTGTTATTTTTTTTCTTTTATTTTGCTGGTTTAAAACAATTTTTTGTTTACGTATAGTTGACACACGAGGCTGTGTTAATGTCTGCTGTACAGAGAACATATACACATATTCTTTTTTATATCCTTTCCATTATGGTTCATCACAGGAGACTGAATACAGTTCCCTGTGCTATACAGTAGGACCTTGTTTATCCATCCTGTGTATGACAGTTTGCATCTGCTAGTCCCCAAAGTCCAGTCCTTCCCTCCCCTACACCACCTCCCCCGTGGCACAACCAGAAGTCTGCTTTCTATGTTCCTGAATCTGTTTCTGTTTCGTAGGTTAGCTCATCTGTTCCATGTTTAAGATTCCACGTACAAGTTGTATCATATGGTATTTGTCTTTCTCTTTCTGACTTATTTCACTTAGTATGATAATCTCTAGTTGTATTGAATGATGTTTTATTTGAATTGCTAATGCAATTCCAAAGGACAAAAACTTCAGATGGGCACTTGTAGTACCCCCCACCCCCACTGAATTTTGGTCAGGTATATTCTAAAGCATTGGAAAAATAAAAAGCTAGTACTAAGAAAGCATGGAAGTCGCCCGTACTGTGGAAACACGTGGTCACTTCATGTCTTTTGTACAGAGTCCACAGACTGCTCCATCACTGCTCCATCTTCTGACTTCCAGCCCTGAACATAGTTTATTATTATTTATGATCTCCCAAAAGAAGATTTCCTTCCTTTAAAATTTTTATATAATTTCAGTCTCAGAGAAAAACTAAGACATTTTTCATTCATAAACATTTGTTACTATACTTATTTTTACTCCCCTTTTCTATCTCCATATGTATATTTGCATGTAAATATACATGAAAATATGCATATATTTACGTGTATATACACATGGATATAGGGTTTCCCAGGTGGTACTAGTGGTAAAGAACCTGCCTGCCACAGCAGGAGATGAGTTTGAACCCTGGGTTGAGAAGACCCCCTGGAGAAGAGAATGACAACCCACTCCAGTATTCTTGCCTGGAGAATCCCATGAACAGAGGAGCCTGGTGGACTAGAGTCCAGGGAGTTGCAAAGAGCTGGACACGACTGAGCAACTGAGCACTGTGAGCACGAATGCACACACATTCTCATATTCACATATTAATTTTTCTGAACCATTTAAGAGTAAGTTGCAGCCTAATGCTCCTGTTAACTCTAAATCCTTCAGTGTCTCTTTCCTAAAAACAGGGAATTTTGAAAAATTAGACTCACAAGCCATAATTCAATTGATGATATGCTGTGTCATATGTATATAACTAATACATGGTTCAGAAAATAGTAATATTCGTCATCATAAATTCAGATAGAAACAAGCACAGCTGGTCTAACTTCTGTTGCAATAAATTTTCAAGTGCACTGAGACTTGTACGTACACTAAATTATCCCTTGCTAAAATCCCTGTGATTTTAGTCTGCTGCCCTTGTCTAAGAAATATGGATTTTATGACTCTATTTCTTCAGCAACTTCTGACGGGACGTGCATTAATCATTTTCCAAGTAAGGCAATTTAAGAGGCTTTGACATCAGGGGCTATAATACTTTATAAAACTATTTAATTGCCTCATATACTTTGTAATAATGTATAATAGCAATACACAGGATAACGTGGTCTGCTAGGTGCTTTTAAGGGAAGCATGGTTTCTTCAATTAGCTCTGAGAACAGGCTTTCTGGTAAAGTTATTGTTGATTTCAGTCCCTCAAGTCTGAATACAGTAGAATCTTCCAAAGAAATATAAGTAGTGGTGGGACTGCCAAGAACAGCTCTCCCCCACCCGCCTGCATTTGATACCATGGGCCAGGTCCAGAATATTCTGAATGCTGATCTTTCTTCCCCAGGAGTAATCCACTTTAACTTTTACACTTGGATGGCAGCCACTAATACAAAGACCAGCAGCTTATAAAATAAAATCATTACAAACCTAAAGGAAAGAGGGGGAGGTGTGATAGCTATCAGAAGGGTTTCTGGGGGGGATAATGAAAATGTTCTAAAATTGACTCTGCTGATCAATGCATGACTCTGTGAAGCTACCAAAAGCCACCGAACTGTCTACCTAAAATGGATAATTGTATGGTATAGGAATTGTATCTCGATGAAGCCGTTAAAAAAAGTAAAATCATATATTTTGTTCATTTCATAACTCCTAAATGGAAAATCTATTTTAATAGAGTAAGCTTTACACTGGTAAAGGGTTTTAATCCCTTGATTACCTGTTCATGATACATGGGTAAAAGAAGTCCCTTAGAGAAAAATCAATGACCGTTTAAAAGCTCAATCTCACAGAAGCAAAAATCCCATCACTAAATGAACAGGAAGAAGCTTCTGTAAACTTATAAACAAACATGAAACTCCATGACATTCAAACTCATAATCGATCCCTATTTTTAACCTGCTATTACCAAGAACTGACAGAATACTGAATACATCTGTTAAGGTGGAGAAATAAAAAGACCTTAGGCAATACCTCAGGTCTTTCCAAATGTGCCTGCCCAAATTCATAAAGAGTAAAGACTATGAAATAAATCTATGGGAATTAAGATGAAATTCAGGGGAGGAGGGACCCTGATGCTTAAGAAGCATGTTTGAAAAACCTTGTTAGTTTAGAAACATAAATCTGGTGAGTACATAGTTAATCATCTTTGATTAGTGAAAATAATGATTTTTAATGACCGATTATGATAATGTCTAATAAAACTGGTTAATAAGCTATACATTTTAAAATTGTTATACGTAGAGCTCTGAGTCATTGAGCTTTGAGGAATCCAGCATCTCTCATTGTTCTTAATTTTTCCGATATTATTATTCATTAAGAGAAGGAATGGGGGGACAGAGAGGAAGAGGAGAACTTTAGCTTTATGTAACTTTCCATAATCAGTAAAATCTAAGCTGTTGCTAATATCAGTTTGTTCATTCTTGCTCTTTGTTTTGATCACCTTCATAGATTTTTACATTTGACTTGGGCTTCCTTGGTGGCTCAGATGATAAAGAGTCAGCATGCAATGCAAAAGACTTGGGTTTGATCCCTGGGTCAGGAAGATCTCCTGGAGAAGGGAATAGCTGCTACCCAACTCCAGTGCTCTTGCCTGGAGAACCCCATGGACAGAGGAGCCTGATGAGCTATATAGTCCATGGGGTCGCAAAGAGTTGGCCACGACTTGAGCAACTAACACTTTCAGTTCCACTCGGATTAAACTGAGTTTGTCTTCCGAAAGAGTCTTACAAATTGGAAGGACTTTTCCATTTCACATCTGGGGTTCCAGGTGGGAACCCCCCACATAACTGTCCTACCCTTGACTTGAACAGTTAATGACATCACAATGCAGTGTCTTTCACTTCCAGGTACATGAACTATCAGAATTTTCTTCCTCATATGAAATCTCACCTGCCTCCTTATAATTCTACACATTCTTCTTATTTTGGATCTCTGGAGCAAAACACAACAACACTCGGTTTCAGTTGACACTTTTGTTAAACACTTAAAAATTCAAAAATGTCCCTTCTTGAAGATGTCACCACCAGACCAACCCCCTGGTGTCCTCCTTCAAGCATCCATCCTCATCAGCCTGTGTCCAGGAGCACGACTGGTTCAGTTCCTCAGGATGCACGCAAATTCATCAGTGGGACTTTTAAAATTGATTTTGTTTCTGTTAAGAGAATATTTTTTCTGGTCTAATTTCGTCTGGGCTTGATCTCATGATTTATTGCTGCTATTTTTGGTTTTTTTTTTTTCAGAACAGAAAAAAAACCTTGATCTTCCACCAGAACTGTTTCTTTTTTTATTTTTTATTGAAATATAGTTGATTTCCAATATTTCAGGAGTGTAGCAAAATGATTCAGTTTTATTTATGTGTATATATATATATATATATACACACATACATATATATATACATTCTCAGATTCTTTTCCATTATAGGTTATTATGAGATATTGAATATAGTTTTCTGTGCTAAACAGTAGGTCCTTGTTGTTTGTCACTTTTACATACAGTGTACGATTTTATAATTAATAGGGTTAATTATAATTATTAATTAATCCCCAACTCCTAATTCATCCCTCCCCAGCTTTCCCTCTGATTACCATAAGTTTGTTTTCTAGGTCTGTGAGTCTGTTTCCATTTTGTAAGTAAGTTCGTTTGTGTCATTTTTTTCAGATTCCATGTGTGAGTTATATATGGCGTTTGTCTTTCTCTGACTTATTTCACTTAGTATGATAGTCTCGAGGTCCCATCCATGTTGCTGAAATTGGCATTATTTCATTCTTTTATATAGCTGAGTAGTATGCCACTGAATATATATACACCGCATTTTTTTTTAATCCATCCCTCTGCTGATGGACATTTAGACTGCTTCCATGTCTTGGCTGTTGTAAACAGTGCAACTTTGAATGCTGGTGTGCCATGTATCTTTTCAAATTAGAGAACTATATCTTTTCTGTGTATATGCAAGGAGTGGGACTGCTGGAAAAGCTGTTTCTTCTGAAGCAAGGGTTACACAGCTCATTTGGGATGAAGAGTTTGTGAGCTGGTGCTCCCCTGAGTTAGTGTTATAGTTGGTAGAAACAAATGTCAGGTAACGCTCATATTATCTCATGGGCAATACTAGGGGTGGAGGGCTGGTAGCTGATGCAAATATCTGACTGCATGTACATCTTAACCAAGGAAAGTGTGAATTCACCAGATGTGAGTGTCTACTTGGATAAGAAGAGAGACGTTTAAGATGCACTTTGCACCGCTTGCTCAGTGTGTTGCCCAGTCAGGAGCTGAAAGATATCCATCCTAGCACTGGAAAGCCTCAGGGGGCTGGAAGCAGTGGGAGGGGGTGGACAGAAAAGAAACGGGCAAGTAAGCAGAACTCATCACCCTTGGAGAAGGTGAAAAGTAGGAGAGAGATGAGGTGAGGCTGATTCTAGGACTGCTCCCTTATCCTCGGTACCAGCCTCCAGCAAAAACTTGAGGATGCCTAAAATGAAAGGAAGGGACTTGTGGTAAGGTGAAGTCCATCAGCAGAGGAATGGATAAAGATGTGGTACTTATATACTATGGGATATCACTCAGTCATAAAAAGGAATGAAACGGGATCATTTGTAGGGATGTGGATGGACCTAGAGACAGAGTGAAGTCAAAAAGAGAAAAACAAATATTGTATATTAATACATATATGTAGAATCTAGAAAAAATCATGTGGATGATCGTCCCTGCAAAGTAGAAATAGTGACACAGGCATCGAGAACAAGTATATGGACACCACGGGCGCAAAGTTGGAGTGGGATCAACTGGGAGATTGGGACTGACATATATACTCAGTTCAGTCAGTTCAGTCGCTCAGTCGTGTCCGACTCTGTGACCCCATGGACCACAGCATGCCAGGCCTCCCCATCCATCACCAACTCCCAGAGTTTACTCAAACTCATGCCTATTGAGTCAGTGATGCCATCCAACCATCTCATCCTCTGTCATCCCTTTCTCCTCCTGCCTTCAATCCTTCCCAGCATCAGGGTCTTTTCCAATGAGTCAGTTCTTCGCATCAGGTGGCCAAAGTAATGGAGTTTCAGCTTCAGCACCAGTCCTTCCAATGAACACCCAGGACTGATTTCCTAACTAATAAGAACCTACCATATAGCACAAGGAACTCTAGTCAGGGCTCTGTGATGACTTAAATGGGAAGGAAATCCAAAAGAGAGTGGATCTGTGTATCGCTGATTCACTCTGCTATACAGTAGAAACTAACGTAACACTGTAGAACAACAATACACCAATAAAGAATAATTAAAAAATAAAAAGTGACAAAAGAGGTTATTTAATTAAAGCTGCTTTCTTGATGAGGCAGAAAGGGGCACAGAGGAGAACCGAGCTGGAGGTTAGGGAAAGAGTCCTCCAGGAAAATCAGATAATACATTTACACGCCCCAGATACTAGTCGACCATCTAGAAGTCTTACCTTTAGGAAGGGCAGCTAAAAGCTGAGCATCGATCCCTCTTTTGTGGTTAGCAAGCTGTTCTTTGTCTTCAAGCAAGAACTCTTTCTGAAAGCTAAAAATGATTCCATTAAGAAAATGTTTAAAGTTCTTCTAAACCCAGGTATCTGATATGAACTGAGATATCACAGAACATAAAAATTATGTTATGTTGTACACAGTTAAACATGTGTGTATAGATTATAAGTAAAATATTTTATTTGGGGGAGTTAATAGGTAGCTTTTTTCAATGATTCATGGTTATATTAATATGATTTTTGGGTGCAGCTAAATAATTACATCAGCATAGGTGGCAGGGGGTGGGAGGGATGTGAGGGTATGTGTGGCCTCTGGTGGTAAAAACATCACTGCACTAGGAAATGGAAGCCTCTGTTGAGACTGACAACCTCTTCATGGGCCACCAGTAGCTGTGCAAACTTGAACTAATCACTCAACCTCCCTGTGCTACAGTCTTCCTCAGGAAATCAGTGACTTGTCTAGGTGATCTACACGCTCTCTTCCGCTGTTGAAATTAAAGTAACAAACGTCTTCAATCCAAGAAAAATCAAAGCATGGAGCAGAGGTGTGAAAGGTTCATGAAAATTTGTCCAGGAGAAAAAAAAAAGAAATGGGACTTCTCTGGTGGCCCCGTGGTTAAAACTCTGCCTTTGCAATGCAGGGGGTGAAGGTTCAATCCCTGGTTGGGGAATTAAGATCCTGTGTGCTGTGTTGGTACAGGCTTACCAACCAGCTCCTTGCTCTGCCCACCCCTCCCAGCCTCCCAAAGCACCCGTTTCTCAGTGCCTGCTGGCGGTGTAAATACTGCCCCCACTGCTGCTCTTCAAGCTCCCACGGGACTCAGTGATCTCTACGTTGGAAGGAGGACACATGGGCACACTCACCAGGGTGTGTGTGTGTGTGCAAACACACCCCTGGGACCACTGCTGTCTTCGGCGTACAGATCAGGAGACTGTCCAGCGCTTTGCCCCAGGACACACGTGCAGCAAGAACAGTACGCAACGTGCGAATCTAGCTTTTGCTCTGATACTGTGAGCACCCGGTCCAAGACTTGGAGCCCATAAGTTCAAGGCCTCCAGGGGAATGCACCTGGAGTGGGCAAGACCAGAGCTGCTGCCTCAAAGGAAGAGAACAAACCTAGGGAAACAGGAAACTCATCTTCCCCAACAATATGATCACCTCTAGAGAAGTGGTGATAGACCTGTAAACAAACCCAGCGACAACCTGACCTTTACCAAGGATGGTCCCCTGTCTGTGGCTCTGCCCTGCAGAGGTGTGTCCACAGAGGCCTGGGAGACTGAGGAAGTGCTGTGGGTGCTATGAAGGGGGCACACCAATCACTTATATCCCAGATACAAATTAAATTTCAAGGATCATCTGTATACTCCAAAACATTGCCATCCCATCTTCCTAGAACCAAGCTCATCAGAAACCCTTAGTTTCTGCTTATAAATGTGGAATGCTTATACTTGTAAACAGCAGTGCCATATATTCATATCAGTTAATAAAAAGTCTTGAGAATAAGTAGGTTTTGAAAACCACACTCCAGGTAGCTTGAAAATCCTAAGACACCTCCTGCTTAGGTCAAAAACTTGGAATAAGCACTGACTTCTCAATAGTGAATCATAACACAATGACAGATCTCAGTGTTTTTTCAGAGGTATGATGTAGTCTAAACCTAAAACATTAAACAACAGCGGAATGGCACCCTACTTAAGGAGTGACATGCTATCAATATTTTAATTGACTATTTAACCACTTGAAATATTCCAGCAAGTTCTGTACTTTCTTTGGGAAACAACAACCTCAGGAAGAAAATTCTCTGCAAACCCTGAAGTATTCAGCTCCTAGACCATTGACCTTAGAGAACAAATATTATCTCATATTTTCAAAACTGAACATCTGTGTTTCTATTTTCCCCCTTTTATCTGCTCATCAAAAAGCTCAAAGAAGCTGCTAAGGAAGACTAAAAAACTACCCTCTTGTTAAACATTTCATTGAACTTGCACAGAGTGGGGTTCACAATCCATCACCCTACACCCCTGGCTTCACATGCATTTCCTTTCTTGAAACAAACTACAGATGTGTCTGCACTGATGGGCAGGAAAGCCTCTCACGGGTGGTCAGAAACCATGAAAACCATAGCACATTAGGGAAATCTCTCCTGCCTCTTCCCATGGCTGACTGTGAATGCTGTTTCCTCCTCAAGTCTCTTTCTGCAGCTTCCTTCCATCCTGGCTAGTCTTGCTCCTGGTCTGGGCCTCAGTTTAAGGTCATTTCCTTAAGGAAGAACCTTGTGACCCCGTATCCACCTACCAGCACCGAATCTACACTATGCACCTCTGTTATATTCTCTCACGTGACCCTGTTTTCCTATTCATGGAACATATAAGTGTCTCATTTTAACTTGTTGATTTTAAAAAATACTTTTAAAAATCAATAAACATACAGTGAATGAATTGGCTCCAATAAAATATTTGAAATATTTACGAAGACTACTCTGAAGTATTTTTTTTTAAAGATTTTACTTTTTTGATGTGGACCATTTTTAAAGGCTTCACAACACTGCTTCTGTTTTATGTTTTGTTTTGTTTTTTTTTGACCCCACAGCATGTGGGATCTTAGCTACCCAACCAGGGATTGAACCAGTACAGCCCCTGTACTCGAAGGTGACGTCTAAACCATCAGACCACCAGGGAGGTCGCCTGGAGTATTTTATGCATACACGTTACACACTGTGGATATGATGGGGCAAAGAACACGACAAATATGGAGACTCATTAGAAGAGCATGTATTTAATAACATCATCCCTTCCTCCCTTCCTTCCTCTCCTTTTCTTCTCTTTAAAATAACATATTATTGGGAAAACATCGCTCCTCATTACCTTTGCCCAACTTGCCTGTATGTATGAAAATACATGTATGTTTGCATGTTTATAAAGTAGTCTATTTTTCAAGTCTCCATCCTCAAGGTAAAATTTTCTTATTGGAATCCACACAGCCTCCTTTATACTTCTTTCTTGCTGTTAAAATCTCTCTCTCCTATTTCCTCCAAGTAACTACTAACCTCTGACTGCTAACCAATGACTACTAACCAAAGATGACTACTAACCAATGACAACTAACCAACAATGTCTAGTAACCAATGACTACTAACCAATGATGACTAGTAACCAATGACTACTAACCAATGAGGAAGTAGATGAGCCATAGGAAGAATAAGGAAGATGGGCTGGAACCAAAGACTCTGACTTAATGATTGTCACAAGAGCTGTGACAATGCAAGTTTCCCCAAATCAATACGAAACCAGACTTTGAGAAGAGCCATGTCTCTATCCTGGACTTCTGACACCTGGGGGCACCAGTAAGCAGTGAAAATGCAGGCAGGACACACTGGTGAAGCGTTCTGGACCATTCATGAACGAGTAACTCATGTGCTCATCTAATGGCTGGTGAAACACTTAAAAATGTCCTCCCCCAAAGACCTAGAGTCTCTCATTCTCTGAATCAGAGGCACCCAGAGCAGCATCACGGGGTGGGGGCGGGGGGACCCAAGCCCTGGATACTGGACTATGTCCCTCCTCATTATCACCTACACGGGGATCAGGGGGTCTCTGCCCAGACCACTTCTCTGGGCCTTGGTGGGTTGCCACAGCTCCAGTAAAAGGTGGGATCCTCTATTTCACCATGAAACTGTCTTTCCATATATAACTAAAGTATATATGCTACAGTCTTCATTTTGGGGAATTAAAATTTTAAAAGCTTCTAATATGAATAAATGGGGCTTTCCTGGTGGCTTAGTGGTAAAGAATCTGCTTGTCAATACAGGAGACATGGATTCAATCCCTGGGTGGGGAAGATCCCCTGGAGAAGTGGCATCCCACTCCAGTATTCTTGCCGGGAGAATTCCATGGATAGAGGAGCCTGGAGGGCTATAGTCCAAGGGGTCACAAAGAGTTGGACATGACTTAGCAATTCAACAACAACAACAACATGAAGAAACAATTTTAATACGTTTTTCATCTCCTCTGAAACGGAGCTCCCTTCTTCATGACTAATTTGTTCATACTTCTAGCTCTTTCCTCTGCTTCAGTGATCCAAGAAAAGACTGCACTTTGCTTCCATGATAATTTTTTTTAACATGTCCCATTAACCTACTTAAATGCCCAGCAAGACAATAAAAGGACATTTTATTAAAGTGAGAGCAGGCTATCCTGCTGTTATTACCTTCTATCTTTTTAAAAAAATGGGATGTCCTAATAAGGAATATTCTGTTCCACACAGTGAAGGGCTTCCTGACTACTAACTCTTCTACTGGAGTTTATTTACAAGACAGGGGAGGGAGCATCCCTGCTGGTCCAGTGGTTAAGATTCCATGCTCCCAATGCAGAGGACATAGGTTTGATCCCTGATCAGGGAACTAAGGTCCCACAAAGCCAAAAAAAAAGACAAGGGAGATGTAATCCATTACCTCATGTTTCCATGTCTGGTGTCTGGGTAACTAGATTTATTTGAAGGAGGCAGGTTCTTGTATTTCCAGTCCATTTTACATTTAGGACCAGAGCCTGGGGGCCATTGTTTTAATAGGTGCACATGAAATAACACCAGTTTCAGAACCACTGTGTCCCTCTGAGTCGCTCTCCCTGAACTGACTGACCTCCATTCATACGTCATACTTTCCCTTGAAAAAGCAGCGCTTTTCTGTCTCCTCTTTTTTTCCCCCTGCTCTGAGTCACATATTAAGTCTACAACAGCTAAACCAACCTGCTAGTGGTGTATTTGCAACAAAGTTGCTATGATCTGAATGTATTTCCCAGAATTCATAGATTGAAATCCTGACCCCCAGTTCAGTTCAGTTCAGTTGCTCAGTCGTGTCTGACTCTTTGCGACCCCATGAATCGCAGCACGCCAGGCCTCCCTGTCCATCACCAGCTCCTGGAGTTTACTCAAACTCATGCCCATTGAGTCGGTGATGCCATCCACCCATCTCATCCTCTCTGTCGTCCCCTTCTCCTCCTGCCCCCAATCCCTCCCAGCATCAGTCTTTTCCAATAAGTCAACTCTTCGCATGAGGAGGCCAAAGTACTGGAGTTTCAGCTTCAGCATCAGTCCTTCCAATGAACACCCAGGACTGATCTCCTTTAGGATGGACTGGTTGGATCTCCTTGCAGTCCAGGGACTCTCAAGAGTCTTCTCCAACACCACAAGGGTGAAGATATTAGGAGGATGGGCTTCTAGGAAGTGATTAGGTCATGAGAGTGGAGCCCTCATGAATGAGATCGGTGCCCACTCCAACAAGAGAGGATGCAAGACATAGGGCAGTGGGAAACCTGGAGGAGGGTCGTCACTCCATGGCAGTGCACCCTGACCTCAGACTTCCAGCCTCCAGGTGTGAAAAATAAATTTCTATGTTTATAAGCCACTCAGTCTATGAGAGTGAACAAATTAAGGCAGAAGCCTTAGCTTCTATTAAAAAGAAGGCAAAGATGAGAAATAAGGGAGATTGTATCAACTACTAGATAAGTAAAATTTCATGAGTTAAATAAGACAGCCTTACTGATGACCATGCCTCCTCACTGCTCTAGTTTACCTTATACTATTAATAAGATGTGGATGAGATTCATCAAAGTTTACCCCATCCAGCGTGTTCACAAGGTCAAATCTAACATTCTCAAATGCAGAGCCAGGCTTAGCTTGGCTAGGACACTGGTGACACACAACACAAAATAAGCTTTGTGTCAAAGGTTAAGCTTTGAAATGCAAACTTTTAAAGTAAAGAAACAATGTCTTATGTCATACATTAGGAACAAAAGCATCTAAGTGGAATGAAGGGTAGATCTGGGTTGGGGCCTTCCCGCATAATAAAGTGGATGCTGAAATCCATATCTCTTGTGTGTTAAGGGACCATCATTTTGTGTCTACACTTGAAAATCTCAAAACCTGTTAGGGACAGCCATCTATGAGGACACATCTGAAATATAGCCACCTTATTAGGCACAAAGTTTAATTTTTCTATTATCTCACCTCAATGATGTGTGTACCACGGAGTTTTAGCATATCAGGTACATCAAATAGGTACCCATAATATCCTGCAGCCAATGGAACGGAAGGGCAGAACAGTTAAGAGGCCAGGCACCATGAACTTACCTGGACAGCTGAGTGGGTAGGTGGGTGGAGGGAGAGAAGTAACGGGAGAAGAACGGGTCAGAAGGAAGGGACAGAAGGAGGAAGAACAAGACTAGATCCTTTCTTAAAAAACCAAAAGCATACATGTGGATAACTGATTCAATGTGCTGTACAACAGAGATTGGTACAACATTGTAAATTAACTACACTTCAATTAAAAAAAAAAAAAAACAGCAGCAAGCCAAAAGCTCCCTTACTCAAAGGGTAAGTTGAAAAAAAGGGTATCATATCCTTAGAGGCAGATATGGGAAAGAAAAGAACTTGTAAAGAAAAGACCTTTATAATTTTGCAATTACAGAGACACCAACAGGCCATTTTGCAAATAGTTCCCATGTGTATGTTCAGTCTGGCTCTTTGCAGCCCTATGGACTGTAGTCTACCAGGCTCCTCTGTCCATGGAATTCTCCAGGCAAGAATACTGGAGTGGGTTGCCATTTCCCACTTCAGGGGATCTTACTGACCCAGGGATTGAACCCACATCTCTTGTGTTTCCTGCATTGGCAGGCGGATTCTTTACCACTAGTACCAATACAAAAAGAATCTTTGCTGGCTGAGTGCACTGCTAAGTCAGCCTGCTTCACATGTTTTAATAAGTTAAACTCTGGAGAGAAAATATTTTTTTAAAACATTTAAAACTCAAGGATTAGAAATTTAGGAGAATAATTTCTAAATCTCCTACAAATCTTGGAAACTTAAGATTTCTTGAGCAAAGACTTCTTTACCTTGGAGCTTTTCTTTGACACGGGAATCCAACGAGGCTTAAGTTTTTCTTGTTCAAATCTAAGGGGAAAGAAATAATGTAAGCATGAAATACCCACACAGTAACTTAAAACCAAAAAAAACCCAAAAAACCTCAAATTTGGGGGGGGGGAATTCTTCACGCTCCCTTTGAGACCATTTAAGAAAAAGGCAACTGTGAACCAGAAATATGAATACAGAAAATACAGACACCTTTAAGCATCAAACCCCACCACATGCATTTTACTTAGGAATTGTTTTGTTTTGATTTTGATTAATAGTAGCCAAGATACTTCATGGGTTAAAAAAAATTCTGACATAGTTCAATGCTACCATTTAAATTCTCTATGGTTACAAGAATAACTCCAAAGCAATTAAATACTGAAAAACATAGCTATTATCCTCACGGGCAAAAAAGGAGAAAAAAATTAAACAATTTTGGTCCAGGTAATCAGAAAGGTCTAAAATCATCCCTGCCTGGTATATTTGATGCTTTTAAAGAAGGCACAGCAGGAGCTGGGGTGCATGAGGGGTTGATGAACAGTGGAGGGGACACTTCAGCTGTGTTTTTATTGCCTTCATTAAAATCTAAATGATAATGACACATCAAATTTGCCACTTATTTATTTTTGAAGACAAGACATATATTACATAAAGACAGCTGGTAACAATTGCATCCACCAAAAACACACATCCGACTGAACTGGTTAATGAAAACCAGGCACAGGCAAATTTATAACTGGCTTTGGGTAAGTAATCTGTTTTACAGCTTTTGGCATAGCAACCATTTGTCCACCCAGAAAACCACAATTAGACCACTTACAGAAATTTCTTCCCTTATGGAAGAACCTCTTACTGCTTAATATTTAGGGGCAGAAGCTTGAGGAAAAGGAGGTACAAGATATACCAGATGCTGACATGTCATTACCTATCAAATACATTCTGAATTCTGGAATTTGGGAATTCGGACCAACTAGAGGAATACAATACAAAGGTATAATGCCAATTAAACATCTACGCTTTTTGGCTAATTACACAAATATCCTTGTTATGTGCTTAGAAAAAGAGAACTTGGTTCAAAAAGCTATCAAATATTGCAGAAGCAAATTCCTGAATCTTACACCTCAGTTGTTCAAACATTTGGACTGGAAAATACTTTCATAGACAATGGCCAAATTTCCAATGTGATATTCAAGATAACCTAAAGATTTCTTTTTAGTTAAATCTGTGAACCTAATCTGAGATGCCACTTCAGTGGGTAAATTGAAAGCACTTCTTTTCCTCTGGGCTCAAAAGGAAGCCACTAAGAAGACAAATTTTTGTTCCAAACAGCCTCCCATGAAGATTTCATAAAAAGGCAAACACACACCACTGCCTACTGGAAAAAATTTAGTAGATATAACATTTGGTTGAGAAAAATATTTCAGTTAAAGTACAGCACATCCAGAACTTAATCCAAACTGAGCATTCCGATGTAATCTGCAATGTTTCCTTCAAAAAGGCTTTAGTGGTTTAGCAACTTCTTTAACGTACAACAGAAAAAAAAAGCCACCTTTCTCAGTGATCCCAAGATAAGCTAATTTATAAAGTCAATGAGATATTTAAAGCATCCTTTGAGAAAACCACAGAACAGTATAACGGGGCATCCAAGGTAAAATGGAAGATGCAAGGCATTCATGATGCTATTAAAAAGACACTTGAGGGCATTTTCCATTTCTCCCGCCTTACCTTGTTCCTCAGAGAACTTGAAAGTGCCCAGGTAGCTGGGAATCCCTGGGCTTCTGAACATGGCTGCACACATCAAGTTCGGGGACAGAGCCTGCTCTACAGCTAAGTCTCAAGCAGCCACGGCCTGCAGTCTGTCTGAGCAAAACTGGGTTGAGATTTTCACAGCGCAAGGCAGTCAGGCACTGGTGTCCTTGAGAGTAGAGTAAACGCAAAGCGAGACACTGCAGGCTGGAAGAGCTCAGACCCCGTAATCAGATTACAAGCAGAAATTAGGCCTGTGGATGCTGAAATAGACTGGATTCCAGTGATGGGACATTTATGAGGTTACACTTCCGAGCCATGGCCGAACCACAGCTCCTGCGTCGGCTAAGGAGACAATGCTGTAAACCTAACAGCCATCAGGAGAGGCAGGACAGCTCCTCCCTGCCCTAAAAGCTTACAAGCAAAACCAAAACCATCCAGAGATGCTCCGTGTACTGGGATGAAGGAGAGCCTCTGAACTATTCCCAGGCTGCTCCGAGTCTGGCTTTGGCTAAGTTCAATGAAACACTTGATCGAACAGGGAGCCAAAACCCCCGAGTTAAGAGTTGGGATTGATGAACAACATATGAGTGAAATTGTGGGAAAAGAAAAGGCAGATATTACTAGAGGTTCAAAAATTTAAATTTGAGACAGAAACTCATAAGTATACTACTACTTTTTCTACTCACTCTGTTTATCTTACTTTTTTAAAGACATTTTTTCCAACAAGTTTAGGTTTACTACAAAACTGAGAGAAGGTACAGAGAGTTCAGCTTTTGAACTGTGGTGTTGGAGAAGACTCCTGAGAGTCCCTGGATTGCAAGGAGGTCCAACCAGTCCATCCGAAAGGAGATCAGTCCTGGATGTTCATTGGAAGGACTGATGCTTAAGCTGAAACTCCAATACTTTGGCCACCTCATGTGAAGAGTTGACTCACTGGAAAAGACCCTGATGCTGGCAGGGATTGGGGGCAGGAGGAGAAGGGGACAACAGAGGATGAGATGGTTGGATGGCATCACCGACTCAATGGACACGAGTTTGAGTAAGCTCCGGGAGTTGGTGATGGACAGGGAGGCCTGGCGTGCTGCAGTTCGTGGGGATGCAAAGAGTCAGACATGACTGAGCAACCGAACTGAACTGAACTGACAGAGTTCTCGTGTACTCCCTGCCCCCACCCATACACAGCCTCCCATGTCATCAACTGCCCCCACCATCAACATCCCCCACCAGATGCTACATTTGTTACCAAGGATGAACCTATGATTGAACCTATGATTCATCATAACCACCAGCGTTTACCCTCTGAGTTCACGCTTGGTACTGTCCATTCTGTGGTTTTGAATATACCACGACATGTATCCATCATTCTACTATCATACAGAGTACTTTTGCCCTCAAAAGCCTCTGTGCTCAGCTTGTTTATCTCCCTCCCCTCTCCCCTCCCTTGGCAACTGCTGATGTTTTTATGTTTTCGTAGTTTTGACTTTTCCAGAATGTCATATAGTTGGAATCATGCAGTATGGAGTCTTTTCAGATTGGCTTCTTTTGCTTAGTACACAGTATGCATTTAAGGGGGCTTCCCAGGGGGCGCTAGTGGTAAGGAACCTGTCTGTCAATGCAAAAGACATAAGAGATGTGGGTTCCATCCCTGGGTCAGGAACATCCCCTGGAAGAGGGCATGACAACCTACTCCAGTGTTCTTGCCTGGAGAATCCCATGGACACAAGAGCCTAGTGGGTTACAGTCCATGGGGTCGCACAGAGTCAGACACAACTGAAGTGACTTAGCATGCACATGCATTTATGGATGCTCCATGTCTTTTCATGGCTTGATAGCTCATTTATTTTTAGTGCCTAATAATATTCTATTGTCTGGATATAGCACAATTTATGTAACCATCCAGTTATTGCAAGACATCTTGGTTGCTTCCAAGTCTTGGCAATTAGGAATAAAGCCGCTCTAAACATTCGTTGTAGGTTTTTGTGCAGACTATACATTTTCAGCTCCTTTGAGTAAATACCAAAGAATGTGATTGCTAGGCTATATGGTAGAGACTATGATTAGCTTTGTAAGAAACTGCCAAACTGTCTTCCAAAGCGGCTGGACCATTTTTCATTCCCACCAGCAGTGACTGCGAGTTCAGCACTGGGTGGTGTCTGGACTCTGGATTTTGGCCATTCTGATAGGTGGCATCTTGTTTTAATTTCCATTTATCTGACGACATATGATGGGAGGATATTTTCATGTGCCTATTGGCCATCTGTATCTCTTCCTTGGTAAGGTGTCTGTTCAGGTCTTTGGCCCAAATTTGATTCAGTTGTTTGTTTTCTGTCGAGTTTTAAAAGTTTTTGGTATATTTTAGGTAACAGTCCTTGATCGGATATGTCTTTTGCAGATACTTTATACCAGTGGGTGGTTTTTCTAGCTCTCCTGATGTTGTCTTTCACAGAACCAAGTGCTTCATTTTAATGAAGTTTAGCATGTCAACTAAAGTTGACCAAAATTATGACCAACCTAGACAGCATATTAAAAAGCAGAGACATTACTTTGCCAACAAAAGTCTGTCTAGTCAAGGCTATGATTTTTCCAGTACTTGTGTATGGATGTGAGAGTTGGACTATAGAGAAAGCTAAGCGCTGAAGAATTGATGCTTTTGAACTGTGGTGTTGGAGGAGACTCTTGAGAGTCCCTTGGACTCTCAACCAGTCGATCCTAAAGGAAATCAGTCCTCAATATTCATTGGAAGGACTGATGCTGAAGCTGAAACTCCAATAATTTGTCCCCCTAATGCGAAGAACTGACTCATTGGAAAAGACCCTGATGCTGGAAAAGATTGAAGGCAGGAGGAGAAGGGGTCGGAGGATGAGATGGTTGGGTGGCATCACTGACTCAATGGACATGAGTTTGATAAACTCCAGGAGTTGGCAATGGACAAGGAGGCCTGGAGTGCTGCAGTCCATGAGGTCGCAAAGAGTCGGACATGACTGAGTGACTGAAATAAACTGAGCATGTCAACTGTTTATTTCATGGAATGTCTTTGGTGCTGTATCTAACAATGCATCACATACGCAAGGTCACCAAGGTTTTCTATGTAATCTTCTGGGAGTTTTATAGTTTTGTGTTTTACATTTATGTTTATGATCCATTTTGAATTAATTTTTATGCTGGGTATAAAGTCTGTGTCTAGATTCTTTTTTTATTTTCACATGAGAATGTCCAGTTGTCCCAACACCACTGGTTGAAGAGATTATCTCTGCTCTATTGCTTTGTCTCTGCTTCCTTAAGACATGTCTCCCTGCATTGGCCTGTGTCTACGATCTTAGGGGTGGCGATTTATCCCTCCCCTCTTTGTGGACCCAAGAAGAATGACTGATTTCTCAGTCTGTTCACTTTTTCACTTGCTGGGATGAAGTGGTAACTTCTAAGCTCCTTATAGGCAGAACCCAGAACCCTGGAGTCTGCTATTTATTTTTAACTACAATCTGTAGCTGGTGGGGTCAAGTAAGGTAATGCAACTCCAAGAAAAATCTGCAATAGAGACTGACAATTTGATAGGTAAAATCATCTCCTTTATAAGATAAGGAGGAAAAAGAGGGCTAGAGAAGTAACTTGCTCTGGGTACACACTTGGTTAGTGATGGAGCCATAGGATCCCAGGATGGTAGGCTCGAGATCATGATTTGCTCCCCTTCACCCCTCAGGGAGGCAGTGACCCCTGAGTCTGTCCATCTTTGTCTGTTTAGTTGCTGTTGCTGTTCGTATCATTGATACTCAGTCGTATCAACTCTTTGTGACCCCATGGACTGCAGCACGCCAGGCTTCCCTGTCCTTCACCATCTTCCAGAGCTTGTTCAAACTCATGTCCATTGAGTCAACAATGCCATCCAACCATTTCATCCTCTGTTGCCCCCTTCTCCTCCTGCCCTCAATCTTTCCCAGCATCAGGGTCTTTTCTTCGCATCAGGTGGCCAAGGTATTGAAGCTTCTATTTGGTACCGAATATTTGTTTGCTGTATAGCAGGCCTGCCCACGATGGTTTGCTGAATGGTCATGGGAAAGAATGGAATACTCTTTTTCTAAAGGCTAGAGATGCCATTCTAAAGGAGTTTCCCAGATAGCTCAGTGGTAAAGAACCCACCTGCCAATGCAGGAGACACAGGAGACATGAGTTGGATCCCTGGGTTGGGAAGATCCCCTGGAGGAGTGCATGGCAACCCACTCCAGTATTCTTGCCTGGAGAATCCCATGGACAGAGGAGCCAGGTGGACTACAGTCCATAGGGTCACAAAGAGTTGGACATGACTGAGCAACTATGCATGTTCGCATGCCATTCTAAAATGATTTGCATTGATTTTACATCCTGCTTTCAAACCAGACTGACTTAAGTGGTTTCTAAACTACAAACATAACTTGACAAGGAAGACTTATACGGCGAATTCACCAGGGCGCAGCCACAGAAGGCACATGGGCTGTCCATGGGGCTGTGGTGACAGTTGTAATTTTCACTGTCCTGCTCATTTCTTCAACTCTCAAAGTCACGATGAAATAGCAAATAGAGCAGGTTAAAAAAACTCAGCAGAAAACAACAGAATTGCTCTGAAAAGCTGTAGTGGAAACTTCACTGTTAGGCCATGGCTAATGAGGAACCAGAAGGCAGAGGAGCTGCTGGAAAAAGAGGAAGTGGAGGAAATTGTAGAAGCAACTGATTCTGAAAGTGATTAATTAGATAGGATGGAATACAGTTTGTGTTTATAAATAATCCTCTGCAAAAATTTAGTTTCTAAAACATAATATTTACATTCCTGAAAACTATTCTTCTTACAGAATCCTCATCCTAAGGGACTCTCAATGCTTCTTTTGAATTATTATGATGGGATAATCTTAGTTAAAAATCTTAAAATACAATTCCAGTATAGAATAAAAAGAATTTGGGGACAGGGGGCTGTGCCTCTTGGCTTCTGGAATCTTAATTTCCCCACCAGGCATCAAACCAGGGCCTACTGTAGTAAGAACATGTAGTCCTAAGGACTAAACTGCCAGG